TGAGTCGCAGAAGGGGGTGTTACTTAGTTACATATTCTTCCAGAAACTTTATTCATAATGAAAAAAGGGCTAGTAAAATTATTACGTAGAATATTGAAATAATTATATTAATCATTAAAATGATATATTGATATATAGGTAATATGTATAATATAGGTACTATATAATATAATAACGGACAAGTATCAATGCTCACGTACGTACATTTTTTGAACTTTTGTATATTCTTTAATGTCAATTAATAATGAATTAAATGAACTAAGTTTTTCAAAAAAAATAATTATTTTCTGTTTACAAAAAATCTTAAAAATCGTATCCTCTATACTCATAATTCAACACAATGCCACATTATGATAAATATATACATGTGCTATTGTGCGTCATGTATACCTTTGGTTATATGACTGAGTTTATGTTCGTTTGTTAATATATAGATAGATATAGATAAACATGGAGAAGCCAATAGGTAATAATATATAAGAGTAATTCCTGTACAGATGTATAATATATATATATATATGATGTATGTTGTATACATACACGTAATACGTTATTTAGTTATTATACGACGCGTGTGTACTACAGAGAAGTATTTTTTGTATAATAATATACGAGCGTCGTGAAGTCCCGCGCAATGCACGTGCGTACATAAATATAATAAAAAATTATTTAAAATACATTATAAAACATTATAACGTAAATTATAATATAGTATGTGTGGTTTTTTGCGCAATCAATTTGTTTGCATCTTGGGCCGCAGATGTGTCGAATACTTGAGTCGATGCCAACAGGGCCGGTGCGATCAAATTTTTTTCTAAGGGGGCGGACTAGGTAAAAAATCGTGCCAAATCAATTTTTAATCACCAAATAACGATGCAAGCGTATACATTTATAAATATATACATATAATACAGTAACATAATGTTATATAATAATATATATCATGTCGCCATCACCGTGTGCAAATAACGTCGCGTGGGACGACAGAAATTTCGATGTTGAAAAAAAAAACGTTACTATAAATTAATAGCGTTAATTTCGCAGTTTCGCACAGAAATGTGCATGTGCAACAATAACAAAACATAATGACGTAACATGTTTCGACGCTAAGTACAACGTCAAATAATTAAAATATTATTTCTATCAATATTTTTTTAATTTAATTGCGACGGAACCGGAATAAGTATTATACGTGACTCTTGCAAAGGTGTTTATTTTAGATTTACGTATAGAGAACCTTATAATAATACGATGGTTCGCGATTTCTCGTTAAATACTATTAATATAGGGCTTAACGTGAATAAATCAGTATACTCGTTTTATCATCACTTCACTTAATTTCTGTTCGAGTAAACTAGACGGAATTGGAAGTAAGATTTTTTTTTCTTTTAAACAATCTAAATCCGTAAAAATATATTTTTTGGGTAAAGAGAAAGCTAATTTGAAATTCTTTAAGTTTATTTTATTACGTACAGAGATACCGTAATCACCTTATACACGATTACGGGAATTTGTCGTACACGGTGAGACATTTATTATTATGATAACGTAAGCAAAACAATAACAACGCTCAAATTGTGTTTGATTATAATTTACATTTTACATTATACAACTTTAAATAACAAATTACGAGTCGAATAGTGTATAGGTAATACTATAATTATTATTATTGTTTTATGATGAAAACGTGTTCAGTGCGGATGTCCGATCGAATAATAGGTACGTAATTTCTAGATAGACACGCGCCATCATTTTTTTTTTTTTTTTGACGACAAACACATATAATTTGAGTCATATATTAATCATAATACATATTGAATTGTAAAATTTTAATTGTTAAAAGAGTACGTGATGTTTTTGATCTGTTTTATCATTATAACACGATGGCATAAAAATATATAATATAGTAAATTATACAACGCAAAATAACACGAAAAAACAACAAAATAGATACAATTATTTTACTACGGAATTATAATTATAAATATTATTTTAGAATAAAATTAATAATAATAACAATAATAAATAATTTATATATACATAACTATACCTTACATATTATACTACACACACACATACACATAATGCACATTACATATATATTTTATATAGCACTCAGCGATTGGTATTTATTATTTTTTATTCATGAGAACATATATTACATATAATAGTATTATACCAAAACATAATATTTTATTCGCTCATACTATAAGTATATGATAATGCAGAAATGCAATATTATATTATTACATGATTATTATGATTTAAATAAGTACTATTATTGTCTATATTAAAATGTTACGTAAAATCATTACCTATTTACTACACACACCCACTTAATATTTAAATGAAATCTAGATTCAGCGTTTCTCCTCCTCATACACTCGTTCACGTTATCTTGAACTCCTCTATCACACACCAGTACATTAAAAATCCATATGGCTTATTATTCTGTACCTATGAGGCTATGAACACATACTACACGTCTACACACATATGTATATTTAAATAAATATCTAATATTTGGAGAAATCGTAAATATATGTTATGGGCATTTAAATATTTTCAAACGTAAGTTTTCATTCTGATTAATATTATACATGATGTGGAACATATTAAAATGGAGCTCAGTCGGAACATATTTTGTAATTTTGTAACTTTGTATGATGTGTGATGTGTATAATTACACCTTATACCTATCGACGTTAAATTTTTGGGAAGAGATGTGATCTTTTGTAGATCACAGCACATTGTCATCAATACAATTTATAAGTCTTGCCATTGAATATAGATATAGTATACCAGAACTAAATAATACTCAATTTGGTATTAGGTCAAAAACAACAGAGCTTAAATAGCATAAATTCATACTTCATATACGTAAAATATAATTATATAAATACCTACTTTCAATGACATCTTGATTGTCGTTAGTTTTACTTATTAATGAGTATTAAAATATATAACTGTGTAAATACGTTCTTCAGACGCTGTATGAATATATTTTTGACGTATAAATTGTTTTAGTAACTATCTACTTATTTACATCTTTTTATTTCGATAAAAATAAAAGTATACTGCTCATAATTTATTTAAAAAAAAATTAGTTCTCTTTAATTTCCATTTGAAATAGGTGCTATATTTATCACAAAAAATAACTTATAGTTGATTTAAGTATATCAACTTCTTTTTATGCCATTGGAATATACAATGTTTTGTGAGAGACACCGAGGTAATAAATTTTACGTAGGCTACTTTTACTTGATCCAAATGAATTATAACTCACAAATTTTACGAGGTGAGGTGTACGAATTAATCATTTATTTTCTACATATTATCAACTGGAAAAATTTCTTTTGCGACATTGTGGTGTTCATCAATTGTTAATAATTATATTCAGATATATATTCTATCGAGTCTTTCCCTGTAAATGGTCTCTGAACTACAATGTTGTGGATCATTATAAAAACATAAAATATTGTACAGTGCAATCACGTCGAAGTATGCTGCAGCTTTTAGTAATTAGTTCCACATTTTATGGAAAAAACTAACATTCATTAGTATTATCATCCTACACGTGTAAAAAATATTATCACAAACAATGAGTCGTTTTAAATTATTACAGTATTACCGTATATATAAAATGTACGACAATCGTATTTCTTGTCTTGACATGCTGTAATAGTTTTATAATCTATTGGGGTAGTACTTATAACCGTCTCGCTTGCAAACCAAATAGGTACCTATAAGTTTATCGAAAAATACAAAGAATTACGACGAGGTTATATATATATTCTGATAATCATTAAGACATTGAAAATAATGACCTACTTAAAAAAAAAATGCATTTAGTCATTTTATTTTTTATCTTGTTTAAAAAATACGTTCTAAAAAAAAATCATTGTACTTGATAGCTTTAGTATTATACCCACATTATTTACGTTAGTAGTAATCAAATTATTTTAGTAAAAATATAATAAATACATTATATATGTATGTTTGTATAATATATATGACTGCAATTGTAATGCCTAGCAAATTATTATGACACAATATTATAGAAAAAAAAAAAACGTTTTCATGTATAAATGAATTTATTTGTAATAAATAACAAACAGATTGCATTAATATAAATAATTACTATGTAAGCGGTAATATATAATTCACACGTGACGGTAAATACTAAATAATTTAATAAATTAATCAGCTTGATCGTGATCGATTAAGATCTGGCTAAAACTTTTTTCCATCTAATCTAAAGTTCTTGTAGTCGGTATAATTACTATAATTATATATTATACTCGTAAATGGTATAGCACGTGGTATCTATATTTTTACGAAAAACATGTAAAAGTAGTAGTATTAGCTTTGGATTTAATCCAATTATTAACAGAAAAATAAAGGTAATTAAACATGAATATTTCGCTTCGAGATCTCAACCGATGGTCAATTAAATACTGCAAAGAATTATACATTACTAATTATTACCTACGTTATTTGATTATTATACTTTAAAAACAGTCAAAATCATCAATATAACTGAAATAAATTATCGATTATTCGCCGCGCGGATTTAAATCGTTATTTTACAATATACATCATTATTACGTATGCCTATACTATTTAATATTTTATTAAAATAATGTGTTTTATTAATAATTTCTATTTAATTCGATGCCTACGTGCACTATCATAACATAATATGGACGCACATACACACACGTAATATATATATATATATATGTATTAAAATATATACTTGTACTTACTAATGCAGTTTCATAAGACATTTCTCCGAATGAAGTGGGTGCGACCCTACGCGCTCGTATTATAATATTGTTATGATACTGGTTTACTGTAATTTTATTTTCTTCGCTGTGCATTATCTTTATCGTCGTCGTTGTTATTAATTTATATATTATAATATTCATACTATTTAGGTACGCGTTTCGTAATTTGACGCGCGTGTAATAATCGCATCTGTGTTTTTATTATTTCAGAGCTCAGAGGAAGAGTTGCCGGTGTGCGAAAAGTGGGCGGTGTGCAGCAAGGTGGACATGTATCAATGGCCGTGGGTGGAGAGGCAGTGCAGGTGTCCGCCGGGCGTGCCGCCGTGCTCGCAAATGCTGTCGCCGGCTGACGGGCACACCATCACCGACAAAACGAGGCAGTTCAAGGTAAAAAAAAAGAAAACGAAAAAGTAACACGAAATATGAAAATCCACCGCGGCTGGGTGTAACGCGCCTTTGCCCCAAAGCGCCTTGTGCACCGCGATATCGTACAATATATTATATAATATAAATAATATTATTGTTATATTATGCATATAATAATATAGTATATTCACACACAGTATTATACTAACGAATAAAACCCGTCAGAATCATTCCGTTTGATCGATCGTTTTATCGATTTCGATAAATTTTCAAAAAAAAAAAGATACGTATACATACGTTATTCCTACCTGTTTTTGTTATTAACGCACAACGACTTCAGTTAACCATTCGTGCGTTTTAATACACGCGTATGTGAACCCTCAACTGGGGATAATATCATTCGCCCCGAGTGGTGTCACCCTTCAATCATGGATTTATTCAAATTCTAATTTTTAAAATTTTAAAATATAAGTATAATTTTATTAAAATTTATAGAGTTATAAAGACCATTTATTTAAACAGAAATTTTATGCAATTTTATGTGTTTGATGTTCTTTTTTTCTAATTACTTTTTTTTTTTTTGCCGTTAATTGTTTTAAATGACTTTTTTATAATGTTCTGATGAATTAAAATTAAAATTTTAAATCATAATTTTTGAGTTAAGAATTGTTTATATGTAAATACTAGTAAGAGTAAGGATAATTATCTTTAATTAGTAGTTTTACATCAAAAGATGAAATATTGTAATTGCGTAAATGTTTTAATGTAATGTTTAGTTTAGTATTTTTTATATTTAGACACTTGTTTTCAAACTATAAAAATTTAACTAATAATTTGTTGATTCAATTATCAAATAATTATAGATTCATATAGATTCATAATACATTAGCTCACATATTTTAAAGCTATTATTAATGATTATTTTCCTTAGCATTTGAATCTTTATAACTCTGAATCTATTACTTCAAATTTTGATTTGTTTATAATTTAACATTTAAAATAAAATATTTTGCTTAAAAATGTTTTGTAAAATGTAGAGTTATTGTTATTTGAAAAAAATAGTTTGTATATCGACACGAGACGATACATCAGATTATCTTTAAATGGCTGATGGTATTTAAAGTGGGTATACTAACAAATTTAAAAAATCAGGATTTTAATAAACTAATTATTCAAAGACAAAATAGGGGTGAACAATAATAATAATATTGTAATAATCAATCTGCCAGGAACGGACTGGGAATAAAAATTGGCCCCGGATAAACAGTGAATTCGGCTCAAATTTATTCAAGTAGCCCCAATTTTCATAAATCCAGGCGGGGATTGCCCATCCTCCACTCTAGTTAGTCCACTCCTGCAATCTGCTATAGTATGCATGCGACGTTTAGGTATATATATTATATAACATAATATTATTTACGAGTTACGGACTTTATAATGCATGCATTAATAATAGGTACACATCTAGCTTTATGTTATCTTAACGTATTTATGTATCTATCTGCGTAATACTTGTACCTTCTATAAAACGATGTCAATAATGTTTTAATTTTTGTATAGCTATGCGAGCCCATCAAGATGTTGCCCAAATGTCGCTACTTTCGCGATATGGCGTGGACATTGCGCAGCGAGGGCAACGGTACGCTGCAGACGGTTCACTGCCACTGTCCCAAAGGTTCGGTTGCCTACCTACTGAAGCGGCAAGCGTACCAGACCGAGTCCAAACAGATCGGCTATCAGTATTCGTTTGCATGCTCCCCTCAGAGCGTAAGTACTAGTATATACTATAATTACGTTAAGAATCATTGAAAATGAACCTAATTAAGAATCGATTTTTAAATAGATTCAAGAGGCATAGTAGACCCCAACTCGAACATATGAATTAACCCTCTCGAACAGCCTTCAGCATGTTTAGGTTAAGTTGGGTTACATATTTTAGTTTACCTTCAATAAAGCATTTATTTTTTATCTGCATATTTTGTTTAAAATGTACAGGTATACCGTATTTACAATATTCCTTACTCCTTTCACTGGGTTTTGTATAATGTTTATACATTATATGAGATTTATATCAATTAATGAGCTAATGATCCCTTAAATATTATGATCTAATGGCTTATGATTAGTCTGTCAAATTAATCAATTTTCTTATGCGATCCGTCCAAAACTCAAATATATATATATATGATCTTTTGGTCAAATTTATCGACAACGTTGAGTTAGATGTTTGATTCACGTAGCCATCTGGAGTAATATTAAGGTAGAATAGCACATTCAATTTTTTTAGTTCACATGTGCACTTACGCTTGTTAAAGTTTTAACTGAATAAGCGCCTTTTCCCCCTGTAGAGTAGTGTTTTACGATACAAAGCGTACTGGTACTTGCCGGAAAAGCTATATTTATCCGACCCACGGATATTCCATATTAAAAAATATTTCAATGTTGTCATTATATAATAGTACTCCTTAAAAGCATTACAAAAGATTTTTTTGACGAAGGGGAAAATGTCGTTGTTTCATCGAGTGGCCGCTAGTACTCGTGCGGGGACTTTAATATATACTATTAATTATTATACAAGAGCGTTACCGATACGCGCCCGCGTGAATCGCGCTGACAAATATATTGTTTGTTCTATAATCTATAGTGTGTTCTATGTAAACTACAAAACAAAAATAAAAGTAATTGAATGGCGTTGAATTAACTCTCGCAAAGGATCCGGGATCATTGAATCGACAACATGGCGTCATATACAATTATATAGTCATAAACAAAACCAGTGATTGGGGGACGACGATGTTTATGTGAAATAATTATTAAACGCTGTATTAAATTTTTGAAATATTCACGTAATAATAGTATCATTAATTATTATGTCAGTTGGCGGAACTTCTTAATGCTTGTGTACATCGTGTATAGATATAATATATCTATAGTATATTTACTATTTAAACCTACTACATACTACAAGTCGAGGCTCAGCGCATTAAAAATAATATTTGTATTATATACATGAACATTTTTGAACATGCAATACTAATATTATTTTTGTATACGGTATATATAAAAAAAAAATACGTGGGAGAAGGGTTTTAAGGGATAGTATCATCCTAACCCAACCCTCTCCCTCCAACAAAATGAATAGATTACCAAAGATACTAAGATACATACCTTGATAATATTATGCAGATTATAGTTATACTAAACACAATATCCAATACGTATTAGAAACAGGTAAAAAATAATGAAAGTATAAAGTTTAGCAATTCGGAAGAAAAACAATTTAGTTGTGCAAGACTATGCAAAACATATTAGTTAGATTTCAAATAGGATTAAAATTATTTTAGTTAATTTTACTCAAACTCACGTCACGTCTCTTCTGTACGTCATAACAATATCATATGATCATCGAACACTATAAACCCGTACAAACGTTTGAATATTTATTTTTTTGTTTTTTACGTGTTACGTCTTATAATTTGGAATTGTTTTTTTCGTTTTGCAGAGGTTACGATGTCAACGGAAAGAACCTTGTCGGCTGTTCACGGTGCGAAAGCGTCAGGAAATGGTAGACGAAGTCAACACTAACACGCTGTGTCAGTGTCCGGCGGAACATACGTGCCCTTCTCATCACACAGATGCCGGAGTGATACAGAGCAAGAACTACTCGGAAGAGAACATCCGAACGTACAGCGGATATTGTATGCAACCGTCGGTCAACTAAACCAACGACGAACCCTCGCTCATACCCTACAGGCTGTTAACCACCCAACCACGTGGACAGTAACCGACGAAAGGGTCGTTTTTTAAATTATTTTGATTAATTCGTCTGTACTTTTTTTCATTTCGACGATATTATTATTAATGATGATATATAAACATGTATATATATATATTATACATGATATATATTTATTATTTTAAAAATATTATTTATCTGCGGACAAAACCAAATTATACGGAATATCTCTTGGCGATTTTAACTAATTATTCGATTTCCGGTGGTTATATTTATATATTTTTTTCTTTGTTTTGTTGTAATAAATCAAAAAAGAAGAGCATTTTTTTCCTACAGAAATTACAAATTATTTATATTTTATTCAACTAAATTATTTTTATACCAAAATCATTATGATAAATATTAACATTAATAATATATGTTTTATCGTGTAAATATTTTACTATATCGATAATGGTTTATTATTATTCTTTTTTTTTATACGATGTTCTTGTTATTTAAATGTTTAGAATGTTTTTCTTTTAGACTTTATTAGGACTATTATTTTTATTATTATTATTATTATTATTATTATTATATTTTTTTTTTTTTTTTATTGAAAAACATCATTATTTTTACCTTTATTGTAATCTTGTGTAAATAGTTTTAATTTGAGTGAGTTGTATAATACATTTATTTCTTGTGAAATTTTAAAGACGTTTGATTATCAAGAAAAAATATTTATATTAAAACTTACAAGCACATATCAAGTTTATAATTAATGTTGATGGTATAATTTTTATATGTATAAATATTAAATTCATCGTAAATATTGTCCATTTTTTTTCAACATCAGACAACAAATACAAGATATAACAAAATATTATGTTGTGTAGTATCATTTAAATTGTGTTATTAGTTTAAGACTATATACCTCCTTCTATAATGCCACCATTGAATTTATTAAATGAACATTTTCACGGGTGTTGTCGTTTACAAACTAAAATATAAATATAAACTATTTATATTAAAAATTAATAGTTTTATTTTTTATTAATATTAATGAGTTTCTTAAAACCTAAAATAATTGCTTGTATTTCATAATAATATTTCATATATAATACATGAATACCTATGTATAATATTATACTATTATATCAAAATAATTGAATACACAATATGTAAATAAATAAATAATAATAACAAAAATCTTTCCAAATCTTAAATAGATTGGAATTAGAATTAATCAATTTAATCAGTTATGATATGCAGAAGAGAATCATTTATAGAATTTAAATACCTAAAATAGTTCATACTTAATGTAACTTATATTTAGATTTATCCAAACATATAGGACCCATTTATACCAAACTCAACAGGTATTTGTATCAATATGTATTAAAGTTATTTTAATTACAGTATAATTATATGCATTATTTACCGAGTTCATAGGAATTGGAGTAAGGGAGTTTTAGAAACTAGCATGTGAATGTTTATATGAACATACTAATTTTTATATTTGTAGTCAAAACTTGGATCACAGGAGTAAATCCCTGGCCTTGTAAAATAGTCAAATCTCGATAACTTTTTTTTTTTTTATTTGGAAGATAATAATATTACATTGATTACAATGGACTTCGATTTAAAAAATTATATTTACAGAATATTAAATCTGAATAAAATCTGAATAATCAAAAATTGTTATGTGTTTTAATTGTATTTTTTTGTTTTTGGTGTTATCAAATAAGCTAATTAAAAAATGTAAGTTTAATGTGACATGAACAAATAATTATAAATAATAAAATAAAATGATCAAATTCAACTATTTTACAATATGTGATCATTTTTGGTCAACGTAGAAATGGTTTGATAAACTTTGATTTAAATTTTTTCATACAACCTGCTTTACGACTAATCAACATAACTATAAATTATCTGAATTTTTAATTTTTAATAAATTAGCGGATTCTATGTCTTTAAACCTAATAATATTAAGGTTTATTACAAGTCTTTAGGTTATTTATTAACTGGAACTTACCATTAACTAGTCATATGAAATATAGTAATTAATAGTCTCTTAATGTATAGTTACGTAATAAAGAGAGAATAATTTGATAATATGAATATATTATATATAATATAAATGAAATACATAAATTAACAGAAAAACTTATTAAATATTCAATCATAATAAAAACTATTTAATCCTAATGATTTTGAATAAATCATAAGTTAAAGTTTTTTTAAATATATTTTTCATTACATTTTTATTTGATCAAATAAATTATATTAAACTAGGTTCGATCGATCTTGAATATTATTTGCATTATAGATGAAACCTAAAGTGGGGATAAAAAATCATCTAAATAATTAAATATTATTAATTGTGTCAGAGTAGGCTATTTAGTTAAGAGCAAATGCAGGTGATTCCTTGATACAATAGACCTTCCGGAAAAACCAAATCAAAGTATTTCAACGATTAAAAATTAACAGAAAAACCGATCTTGTAGAATAGTTTAATTTTTAGTTTTATATTTTCATGTGAAATAGGAAAACATAGTCTACGTTTTTTTAATTTAACTTTAAATATCATCAGAAAAATAAATTTAAAAATACGCTATGATTTGTGATTATTTAGTTGCTTATTACAACTTCTAAAAATAGAATTAAAAAATATGAGCCTAATGTTACCTGATAAATTAATCATATTTCAATTAAAAATAAACAATAATCTGAGTACTTCACGAAGGATAAGAGTTTTTTTTTTTAATTAAAAATGCATTGACTCTTATATCATGTTAGTTTATGTAGTTGTGCCGTAAATACATGAGTAAACGCAATATATTTTACCTGACCATATATTAACATGCTGTTTTATCACAACATAAAATATTTTGCAAGTAGTATGATAAATAATTTTTTTTTTTTTTTTTTGTTTTTGATTATCTATAAATAATAACTAATAATTATTATTTACTTTCTTAAAAATCAAAGTATTAAAAGCTTTTGACAAAATATAATATTTACGTTCAGAATATTTTATCTCATAAGTATTGAATACATACTTAACATATTATAAAACAGGATATAGCAGTATGCTTACCAAATTACCAAATATAATATACTTAAATTAAACTTAGGTGATGAAATTTAAAATAACATAAACAACTAGGAATACAATTTTTAGACTTTGTTTTTTTTTTTAAATTTTGATAAGGAATTATCAATTTTGTTATAATTAATATGATTTAACGATTTTCAAGTTCAAAAAAAAAAAAAATAATTTCACTGTTGATGGTAAATAATAATACACGAAACGGTGTCTTCAACTATAGTCAACTTGCGATGCGATGAATTTCAAGGGACCTAACAAAAAGTTTGATATACCGAAATTCGTTAGGGAAATCAAAAGCGTATTTCAACAAAATTCGTTTTAACATGATTTAAAAGAAAATTCAAAATTTAAATTTTATTAGATTATTAAAAAAAACATACATATTAAATATGATAAATTTATTAGATACATACATACCTACACGAGTAATTATTTATTAATAAGTATAAACTTTATGTTTGTTATGTACATAAATATTTATTTTTTTTTAAATCGGTTATTTTTATGTGTATAGACATTTGCGCTTACCCGGTCAATAACGTTGTTCAATTTTAAAATGTTACAAAACACTCTGTTGTCGATATCATGTCTATGTAAATAATTAAAGAAGATCGCGGAGATCTGATTTTGCTCCTCTTGAATTTTGTAATAATTGTTGTTTATTAGTTATTATTTATTCGTTACTTTCAATTGAGACTTGACTAAAACCGAAAAAATTGAATAACATAAATTGATCACCTGAAAAAATAGATATTATTATTCATTATAAAATAAGTATTAATAAATTAGAGTACATAACTAGAGTCTAGTGACAATATAAATTAATAAATTTCACATTGTTTTTGATGTACCAAGCATTACTAAAAATAAAGGATAAAATACAAAAATATTGGTATAATTATAGCAAAATTATGCAAACAATAAAATATAATGTATAAAATAAATAAATTATATTTCAAATTAAAAATAAACAATAATCTGATTACTTCACGAGGGATAAGAGTTTTTTTTTTTTATTAAAAATGCGTTGACTCTTAAATCGTGCTAGTTTATGTCGTTGTGCCGTAAATACATGAGTAAACGCAATATATTTTACCTGACCATATATTAACATGCTGTTTTATCACAACATAAAATATTTTGCAAGTAGTATGATAATTAGTTTTTTTTTATTTTGATTATCTATAAATAATAATTAATAATTATTATTTACTTTCTTAAAAATCAAAGTACGAGTATTAAAATATTTTGATAAAATATAATATTTACGTTCAGAATATTTTATATCATAAGTACTGAATACATACTTAACATATTATAAAATAGGATATACCTAGTAGTATGTTTATCAAATATAATATATGTCATAAAGTAAGCAGGTGATGAAATTTAAAATAACATAAACAATTAGGAATACAATTTTAAGTCTTTGTTCTTTTTAAAACTTTGATAGGAAATTATCAATTTTATTATTATCAATATGATTTAATGACTTTTAAGTTCAAGTATTGTGGCTATTTTCACTAGTTAAAATATTAGGCTATATAAAAAAATCATTTTAATATTTTATGTTCTTAACAAAACATTATTTTACTAATATCAATTTTTCTTGGTAGTTAGGCAATTGTTTGACCGCCGTAAAAATGTATTTCACTAGTAAAAAGAATATAATATTAAAAATATGAATTACTGACTCAATATCAAATCTAAAACACATTGACGATTTTATTTTATTTTAGACAGATCAAAGAAGTTAAAAAAGGTGTTAATTTATACTCTCTCTTTTAAATGAAGTGCCTACTAAAGCAAATAGTAATATTAATATATAATAGTAATTAATGATATAATTCATATACCATGGATACTAAATGTACCATTTTTAAGGAGTTAAATATAGGCAGTATGCATGAAGGCTTGTTTAGTGGGTGTATTTGTAATATTATGTTCACAATAATACTATTATTCTAATATAAATTTTCAAACCGATGTTTTTTATCAGCAAGTTTAAATTTATTTAATAAATCCCCAATTCAAATTTATAATTGTATATTATAACAATTTATTATAGTAAGCAGTCAATTAATAACCTAAAAATTAATTATAGTTTTTATATTACATGAAATATGAACCTGATAGTATGATTATTAGATGTTTTTATTTGTATCCTTATATTATATCTATTTATTATTTTTATTTTTGGCCAATCTGAAC